CTCCTCCCCCTCCCCCAGAATGATCCAGCATCCAAGCGCGCGTTTTGACCACGAAGTTGAAAGAAATCCAGCCGTAGCGGGGAGACACCAGAAGGCCTCCGTCAATTCAAAAACCACACTCGGGGATCCTGTTTCCAGGACTGGAATTAGGTCGGGCGTGTCCTCCTACAGAGAGTTTTGGACGACAAATAAAAAGAATCAAAACATGCTCAAAGTAGGCAAGACAAAAAAGAATCACACATCGTCCCCCGATGATGTTTTTTCTACATGTTTTGCATATCCTTCCTGTAGAGGGACACGCCCGGCTTCTGTCTGGAAGCGTACAGCTCCCGGCCCCACCTTCGCGCGGCGCCCAAGCGGACAGTCATCCGGCGTCGTGACGCTTGCACGTCGTGGCCAGGCTCTTCGGGAGCGGCCAAGAGGGGGGTGTCCAAGAGGGGGGGGTGCAAATCATGACCGGCGGCATGTGCGCGGCCCAGCGGGGGGGCCGAGGCACGTAATGAAACAAGAAGAGGCGACATGAGATCTGGGGAGATATCATGGCCCGCGCCATGATATCCACCCCCCCTAGTCATCACCCCCCTCTTTTCCGCCCCCCAGCTCTCCAAGGAGGTGTGGACCCCTTCCCGGGACTGGCCCGTCATCTCGAGTCGATGCCTGACGGCTGACGGCCCCGGTGTCCAGCCAGGGCCCCCGAGGCCGCAGAGCGAGGAAGGTAGGAAGGGGCCCTGTGACACACACACACACACACAGAGAGAGAGAGAGAGAGAAATACACAAATCACGGGATCCCCCATATTTTCCCATATCTACTGGGTTTTCGTCTTCTTCCCCACTCCCCCCCTATGTTCCTGGGGGTCGACGATGAATTGTGTCTGCGTGTCCTGTCCCATCCTGAAATCCGACGAGGCCAAAGCAGGGGCAGCATCGTGCAGGGACGATGCTGCCCCTGCTTTGGGAGGCGGGAGGAGGCGTGGACGGGAGGAGGAGGAGGAGGAGGAGGAGGAGGAGGAGGAGGAGGAGAGACGCTGCATAGCGAGAAATGTAAGTAAGGAGGAGGAGGAGGAGGAGGAGGAGGAGGAGGAGGAGGAGGAGGAGGAGGAGGAGGAGGAGGAGGAGGAGGAGGAGGAGGAGGAGGAGGAGGAGGAGGAGGAGGAGGAGGAGGAGGAGGAGCTGAAAATCTGGCTGCGTCGAGCCGTGGCGATGACAGGGGCCTCCCGAAGGCCCACTGCCGGTGTCTCCACCGGCCCCCCGGCGGACAGAAGCCTCCCGTCGATGCGCAGAGGCCACGGGCCCCTCGACGCTTGGCTCTGAGCCCCGACGCACCACGCGGCCCTCCTCCTCGCCCGTCTTCTCCCTCACCCCCCAGCTCCTCTGCGTATCGTTTAACCCATCCCCATCCCCACGGGCGTGGCCTGGGCCACACTGGCCGATGTGCCCCCCTAGATGGGGATGGCTTCGGGTTTCGGGAGGGGCTTTGGGGGGCTTCTCCAAGATAGGGTGGTGGGAGGGTGGGGGTCGGGATGGGGATGCAGATAGGTCAAACGATGCTGATACTCAGGGATGGGGCCCCAGAGCCAAGGGGATCCAGGGCCAAGGGGCCCAGACAGACGAGCGACGACACGAGACAGGTCCTACGCGCGATGACATCCCTTCGCGGACCGCCGGCAAGGCACACCGCGTGAAGAGAAGGGGCGCTTTCGCGCGAGTTGGGCCCGTGATCCCACGTCGCCCAGATGGAAGTACAAGATTGAGGCCCTTTCTTATTGTTGGGGCCGCATCCTCCGGGGCTCCTTCTGCGAATCGCGCACTCCCCTGTCTCTTTCTCTTTCTGTCTCCCTCTTCTTTGAGGGGCAATGTTAGCGGGGGGCAGCTCAGGGGGGGAAACATCGGCCCGAAATGGGCGACATCTCGCCGATCGATCGGCGCTAGACCCCCGTTGGCGAAACCGCACGTTCCTGGGCACTGTGGGCTGTCGGGCCCCTACTCTCAGACCCCACGAATGTCCCAAGAACAACAGTGCTCTTCGAACATACACCCGACGTGTCAAAACCAAACAGTTTGCGCCAGAAATGTTCTAAGAGCATCTCGTGCAGACCACCAGAAGTTCTCGGAACATTATTTGGTTGGACTCTTGGCAGGCCAGGACGCTTCGCCACTGCTTGACCCCTGAACCTACCGCCCCCAAACGTTGCCCCTGACTCCTCTCGTCGGTCGGCTGCAGCGACGGACGCTGGTCAGCAGCGAGGCCGCTCATCTGGTTATAGGCGCACGGCGGGAGCGCACACCGACAGAGAGCCTTCCGAGGGCCACCAGAGGACAGCCCCACGAGGAGGGTGAGAGGGTGAGAATGACGTGATGATGAGATTGGCTCAGGATGCGCACCTGGAGTTCCAGGAACCCCTCGTGTCTGGAGGCCGCGCGGAACGAAAGGACATGATGGGCAACGCGGAGCTCTTGAAACACATCATCATCATCATCATCATCATCATCATCATCATCATCATCATCATCATCATCATCATCATCATCAGCAGCATCAGCATCAGCATCATCATCATCATCATCATCATCATCATCATCATCATCGCCACCGCCATCATCATCATCATCATCATCATCAACACCATCAGCATCGTCATCATCATCATTATTATTAGCATCATCAACATCATCATCATCACCATCAGCATCATTATCATCATTCATCATTAATCATCATCATCATCATCAGCATCGTCATCATCGTCATCATCATCAGCATCACCAGCAGCACTATCATCATCAACTGCATCAGTATCAACATTAACAACAGCATCATCATCGTCATCATCATAATCATCATCATCATCAGCATTAGCATCATCAGCATCGTCAGCATCATCATCGTCGACATCATCAGCATCAGTCTCAGCATCAACATCCTCATCATCATCACCAACCTCCTTCCTCGTCGACCCTACCACCATCATCGTAATTCGTATCGCCATCAGCATCATCATAACAGTCGTCATCGTCATCAGTATCATAACAATCACGAGCAGCATCTGCATCATCGTCACCATCATCAGTATCAGTATCAGCACCAGAATCATGGGCAGCATTGTCCTCGTGGTCGTCGACATCATCAGCAGCACCATCATAATCAGCATAGTCATCATCACTCACATCAACAACACCATTAACAGACATATCCGAATCAGCATCGAGGGCCTCCGAGGAGACCCCAAAAGGGGAACAAGTAGCGAAGGGTAGAGGTATGGGTCACTTTTCCTCCTCCGAGTTTCGTGGCCTGGGCCTCCACTGTACGCGATGCGCGGTGATCTTTGCGCCCTCGCGCCGAAGCGCGACCAACCCTTCGCGCCGGAAAGCAGGGCGGTTCTCCAGCCCAGGCCGCGGCGCGCAGAGGCGCGATGGCATTCGCGCACCTGCGGGCAACCTTCTGGAAGGGGCCCAGGGACCCACAGGTAAGTAGACGCAGATCCCAGGATTCCCCATATATCTTCCCACATATGTTGCTGGGTTGTCGTGGTACCCCTCCCCGCTCCCCATATTTGCTTCTCATCTTGTCGTGAGAATCGACGATCCATTGACCAAGATCAAACAACGGGTCTTACGCGAGATGGCACAGCGACCTTGCGCGGCAGCTTACGCGGGCCGCCAGCGCGGCACGCTACTCGTGACCTTCAAGGGACCCGAGGACGCACAAACAAATACACACAAATAAAAGGATTCCCAATATTTTCCCATATCTCCTGGGCTCCTGTCTTCCCCCCCCACTTCACATATTGTCCCACATTTTCTGGGGAATCGACGATGAATGGTGTCTGTGTATTTTTTCCCTCCTGAGACCTTACGCGGGGAGCTTTCGCGGCAATGTCGGCGCAGACGACCCCGTTTTTCTAGCGTCGCTCAATTGTGTCTGTCTGTGTGTGTGTGTGTTTCTTCCCCCCTCGCCCTTCGCGCCCCTGCGGGGCAACCTTCTTCAAATGGGGCCCAGGGAGACACAGACAGGTGGACACAGATCCCACAGGGTTCCCCCATGTTTCCTCTTATCTTTTCTGGGCTGTCGTTTCCCCCCCCCCCGCTTCCCACAGTTGTCTGTCCTATTTCCCTGGGCGTCGACGATGAGTTGTGTCTGTGTCTGTGTTCGGGAACGGCCAAGAGGGGGGAGTGCAAATCATGACCGGCGGAGTGTGCGCAGCCCAGCGGGGGGACCAGGGACGTAATGAAGCAAGAAGAGGCGCCATGAAATCTGAGGAAATATCATGGCCCCCGCCATGATATCCACCCCCCCCCCAGTCATCACCCCCCTCTTTGCCGCCCCCGATGTGTGTGTGTGGTTTCCCCTCCTGAAGCCCAGGATGCGGGCACCGTGCTGCCACACGGCCCGCCACGGGAGAGAACAGAAAGGGGGTGCTGCGCTGGCCAAGGCGAGCCTCGGGCACGCCAGGGCTCCCAGAGAGAGAGAGGCCCGACAGCCGGAGCCCCTGCTTCGGGGGCGCGCACGCACGGAGAGGCGACCGGGCCGGACCTGAGCACGGCTTGTCGTCCCGTGCTAGCCTTGCTGCTCGTTCTGCTCTGCCCGTTGTCCTACACCTCCCTGCCGAAACGAAGAGCAGAGCACGGCCGAAGTCCCGCAGAGCAGCGTTTCGGATCCCGCCCTGTTCTCGCCGTCGCTCGGACGTCCATTTCCCGTGCATGTTTCGGTTTCGTGCGTGTTTTTTTTGCTCGATGGTCCTCGATGATTCTCGCCGAAAAAAATCACACGTCCGAGCGATGCCAATTGGCGCGATCCATGGATTCGCGCGGTCGATCCATGGCTTTGGCGCGCGTTCGCCAAATCCATGCATCGGGGGAGGTGCCCGCCCCAAAATGTCGCCGGTGACGTCTCGCGGAACCCCGCGATTATCCCCACGAGAACGGGACCCGTCGCTCATACACGCGCCCATTGATCCATGCTTGCGATCGCCTGGCACCTGAGAGCCAAAATAGCCCTCGTCACACGTCGGCCGGCAGAGGTGGGCAGAAGCATTGAAGTAGGGAGGCGCTGAACATGAAGTGGGCTTCCGCCCGCCCCCCCCCCGCCGCCCGAGGACGAGGGAAGCAGGGCTGATGTTTTTCGTGTGCGTTTTTGTTTTCGTTTGCCCTCGTTTTGTCTTCGATCCGCCTTTGCCGCAAAACGAAGTAGAAACGAAAACGGCCCACGAAATCGCCCAAAAAACCGTTCAGGTCCAGCCCTGGAGGGAAGAGAGAATACCAGTTCACTCTCGAAGCCGGAAGGCGCCTGAACCAAACGTGGGGCCGGGGCATCCAGGACTACCTCCACTCGGCGACCGCCGGTCGCAGCGTCTGCACCGCATGGCGTGTGGCAAGAGTGGCCCCCGGGCGCGGCACACAAACACGTTCTCGATGAGGAAGATGAGCTCCAGGATGAAGCCGCTGACCCACAGCGTGGCGCTGCTCTCCCCCTGGCCCGTGGGTGCGGCACAACACGGTCGGACTTGGGACAGAACAGCATCGCTCAGGAACAGGCAGAAGATCGCACATCTCTTGAATCGGCATAGCCCTGTCTCAGACCACCGCTACGTGGATGATGCCATCTGAATTTCTACGTTGCTTTCACAAGGATGCTTGGGCGAAGCCCTGCAATTGATTTACCCTGTGCACTTTGATACTGCATGTGCGTCGCGCGTTCTAGCATGACCTCGCCACCGATATTGATACAAGAATGTTTGACCTATACTCGAAGCCCTACGCCACCGAGCCAGCGTGGGAGTCGTCCCCGAGGGCGCTCCGCGCCTATGTGCTTTCCCGAGCAGCCCGATGGCGCGAGATCGGGCTCACCCTGGACCAAATGACACGGCATGCATCCCGGACGTTGCTCATCTGCGTGACTGTGGCTGGACGCAGTCGGCTTTCAGACATGCTTTCTTCACACTCCGAGGCCGCCCCGACACAAATATTTTAGTAGCAGCCCCCGCGGCCCGGATCAAAGCAGGCCTTTGGTCGTTGAGGTGATATGCTGAATGGCTGGGTTCTTGGATACTTTCCTCCGCCCTTCCGTTTCTGCCCATGCACCCGTCGTTCATTCTAGCTCGTCTGCTCCATGGTTGGACAATTCATGCAATAAGTTGCCAAGGGAGTGTAACTACATCTCCGTAGCCATTTGGACTCGGGGCGGCCCTGTGTCAGCACAGTGCGAACCATATTCTACATGTACCGTGCCATCGCGATAGCAGGCGGTGCTCAAACAGGTCTGACACGGGCCGCATCGAACAACTTCTTCATGCAGTTCAGGCGTTGATCGATTACTTCAGGCCTCTGCAGTGGTACGTACATTCTTCCTTGATGATCCTTCTCCTCCTCCTCCTCAATCTTCATCCCCCTCCTACTCCTGCCGTTCACTCATCCTCCTCCTCCTCCTCCTCCTCATCCCATCGATCCTCCTCGATCCGCCTCCTCGGTCCTCCTCGACGATCCCCCTCCTCCTCCTCCTCCTCCTCCTCCTCTTCCTCCTCCTCCTCCTCCTCATCGACCTACCTGCTCGAGCGCTCGACGAGCGCCGCCGCCAGGCAACAGCAGCCCTCGGCCACGGGGCCCTCAGCTCCGACGGCATGTTTCTGTCTGGTCAGCCGGCGAGCACTCCTCAAATGCCAACGGCAGTCGACACGTATTGACAAGAGTGCGCGACAAGGGTGCAAGGGGCCTCGGAAGGCCACGTCGGCTCTCTGCGAGCGGGGCGCGGCCAGCGAACGCGGCCAAGGATGGGCCGAAGGGGGCAAGGATGCAGGGGTCCCCCTGGGAAGGCTGCCCATCCTCACCCAGCGGGCTGACCGTGTTACGGCCAGCGCGGTACCACACGGAACGCACGATAAGGAACGAAATGGGGCCGTGCTGGCCACGGCCAGGCCTCGGTCGCGGGCAGGTTCCCCGACGTAGAAACGAGGAGCGGCCCGGAAACCCGAGCCCCTCCTGAGCCCAAGGCGGTCCTCACTTCAGCTTCTGTTGCTCCCATCGTGCTCAAGGACCACATCCCAGAAAAAATGTCGAGCACCCCGGAACATATCGAAACAGCGTCGAACGAGTATCGCCTCCAAAAGCGCCCGACACGTGAAAACCCTCGCGTTTGGGCACTTTCTGGAAATTCTGTCCGGTGATCAAGGCAAACATCGGTTGGGGCATTTTCAATGTCAGCGTCTCCTTCGTACCCCAGCAGCAACAAAGGTGAAGAGGCGGATCGAGGAGTCGGCCGACCAGCAAAAGCCTGCATTCCTGTGAACTCCTGCGGCTTCCTGGGCGTGCCAGCGGTGAGAGCACAGCAGCACGGCTATGGGCATCGTAGTGCTCACAGCATATACGAAGAAGGAGCAATTCAAAATCCCACCAGCCCTCTGGGCGTAGGTGGTCTAGAACAGATCCTCTTCCACCCCTCCCTCTTCCCCCTTGGGGAGGGGTTTACCCCTCCCCCTACCCCCTCCCCTGGACCTGGACGGGGGGGGCCGCGGGTAGTTAGAGCGTCCAAGATGGCCCAAGACGGCTCCAAGAGCGCCTCAGAGAACCCAAGATGAGCTCCAAGATGGCTCAAGATAGCGCAAGATCGCTCACGATGGCTCCTAAGATGGTTCCAAGAAGCCCAAAGACGGCCCCAAGATAACTCCAAGTGGCCAAACAGCTCCCCAAGGAGGCCCCGAAGAGGCCAAAATCGTCCCAAAACCTAAGGAAAATCAATGATTTTTGCTTTCTCGCCTTTTCGCTTCCGATGGCCATCCGAGGCCTGGAGATGGCTCCAAGATGGCCCAAGAGGGCCCCAAGAGAGCCCCAAAAGAGCCCCAAGACGGCCCCAAGAGCGCCCAAGAGCACTCCAAGAGCGTTCCAAGAGGGGTCCAAGAGGCGATTTTAGGGGCTTCCGAGGGGGGACGCTAATTAAACCCCCCCTCTTGTTTGATCGACTCCCTCCAAGATGGCCCCAAAAGCGCCCCGAAGGCTCCCCAGAGCGCCTCAAGAGGGTCCCAAGAGGCGCCCAAGATGCCCCAAGGCGCCCAAAAAGCCCTCCAAGAGGCCCTCAAAAGACCCCCAAGAAGCTCCTTCCCCTCCTCCTCCTCCTCCTCCGATTCTTCCTCCTTCTCCGTCCTCCTCCTCCTCCTCCTCCTCCTCCTCTTCCCCCTCCTCCTCCTCCTCCTCCTCCTCCGACGACGACGACGACGACGACTCCTCTTCCATCCTCCCCCTCTCGGGGTCTGTGACAGCTTCCCCCGCCCTTTGTTATTCTGCATGCTCCCCGACTTCCCTGATCACCTCAACTCCCCTGAGCATCGTTTCTGGATGGGCTGGTGGGGATACGCGAAGCGTCAACAATTTACGTGCATGGCGTCTTTTTCTCCTTCGACTGAATGGTTTGGACGCCCGAAATGGGCACGGAAAAAATGGGTACAATGCCCAACAACAAATGTTGCCCCCAAACCAACAGCGGCCGCTGTCGGGCAGGCGGCCTTCTGTCTCGAATGGACACAGGCCGCGGCGGCGTGGACCGCGAATCCGGTTCAGAATGAGCAGGAACTGCTGCTGGGCATCGTACCCATCTTTTCCGTACCCATCTCGGGCGCCCAGAGATTTTGTGCACATCCTCGTCGGCCTGACTGGCGAGGCCCTTGACCACCTCGACGCCCCTTCTCGGGTGGTTTTGCAGAGGAAGGCGCTCTCTGACCCTCGGCCCTGCTCCAAGCATTATGTCGGGCGTGTCCCCCTATAAAAGGATTTTCGACGAAAAATAAAAAATACAAAAGAAAACTCCAAAAAGGTCAAACAATACCCCAAAAATAATCCCCAGACTATTATTGGATTATTTTCTGACTATTGTTGGGATCGTTTTATGTTTCGTCGAGCAAACCAGACCAAACGCGCAGACCAAAAGCGCAGCCGGCGTGGAGGCGGGAGCGCGACGCTTGCAGGAACTGCGGCGGGGCACCTCGGGCGGAGCGGCTGCCAGCACCGCGCGGGCACGGGCGCCCCGTCCACCCGGTCCCGGCCGTGGGACTCCTCTGTGGCTTTGTGGGCCCCGAAAACGGCAGGGCCGTTTTGTTCACCGTTTCCCCAAAAAATGTCCCTAGACAATGGAAACGGCAAAAAAACGGCGACCTGAAACGGCAAAAAAACGGCCCCAGGATGGGAGCCGGAGCCGGAACCGGTCAAAAACGGCGACGGAACTGGTAAAGAAACGGCTCGGAACCGGCAGAAAAACGGCAAAACGGAACCGGTAAAAAAACGGCTGTCGTTTCCAGGGCCCACTAAGCTCCTGGGGCATTTTCCCCATATCCTAAGATGGGGTTCTTGTTATCACTTGGGCGCCTCCTACTCCTCCTCCTTCTCCTCCCCTTCTCCCCTTTTCCTTCTCCACCCCTTCTCCTCCCCTCTCCTTCGCCTCCCCTCTCCTCCGAATTCCAACTTTTTGAACATCCTGGGGTATTTGTTGCTCTCCCGCAGAACAAACAGAAAACGGCATCAACGTAAACTGTGGGCGCTCCGCACGGATTCATTGGATCCGCGCTGGACCCCCTTCCCTGGTGTGCGGGGCGGCGCCGGAGGCGCCGCCTTGGGGGCCGTTCTGGTCTCGGGCTGTCTTGCAGCCCTTGGGGGCCGTTTTCAGCCCCTTTCGGCAAGCTTCACAGCTGGCCGACGGCACTCGTGGGTCCCTCTTTTCTCCGTTCGCGCAGAATTTCCTAGTTCATCGCCACCAGAAGACAATTCGCCACGCACTGAATCGGGGCGCCTCGGTGGGAAAGGACAAGTGTTAAGCTGAGTAGTCATGGCAGAAACGACGCCACTCTAGTCAAGGGAAGAGGAGGAGGATGAGGTGGAGGAGGACGAAGAACAGGAATACAAAAAAACAAAAGTAATAAGAATAATAGTAATAGTGGTAATAATATCAAAAGCGACGCAGCATCCAGCCCCAAGAGCGAGGAGGAGGAAGAAGACTGCAGAGGAACACTAACGTTGTCAAACGAAGGACGCGCTTGCCATGGAGGACGTAGTGCGACTACGACCATTCGGGTCCACTTGCGCCGAGTCGAGTTTGGTGCGCCTCGCACATGTCACTGGAGGAGAAATTACGCCTAGTACAGTCGGACTTGATTGGACAGGACAAGCGAGAGGACACAAGACCCTTCCGAGGGCCACATTGCCATAGGAACGTAGGAGGCATTCGTCGCGAAACACAGGACTCAAGGGTACCCTTGATCTGGCAGGGTCGACCTACTAATCTGGGCCGCCTGTAGACCTACGACCGGAAATCCTGCTCGACCTAAATGCTTGTCCGTAATCCCTCGTCCGTGTGTCCTTGAACGACTTTAAGCTGAACCTTGCCAAGCGCGACCGAGTGCGAAGCCTCGGCTGTACTTTGCGATACGCTGCGTAATGATACCCGCCAACCTCTTCGGCCTCTGCCCAAGACCCTGTCACGTTCAATTCTTGGAAGTACATGTCAGCGCAATGTCCTCCCAATCGGCGCGCATCGGCCTGCACGCGAAGCAATGCGTCTTCAGAGCTCCGTTTCAAGGTGGGGGTCACCAAGGGCAGCCACGCCGCCGCTGTCTCCGGCCCCCACCGTCGGGCTCGGCGTCGGGCTGGACGTCGGGCTGGGCGTTGGGCTGGGCGTCGGATGCGGCGTCGGGTTTGGCGTCGGGTTCGGCGTCGGGCTGGACGTCGGGCTTGGAGTGGGGGCGCCGCAGGTGATCACCATTTCGTCGACCTTCATGTTGATCCGCGATGAACAGAATCCGCCGTTCCAACAATGGCGGTTCAAATGGAGCTCCCTGCCGCAAATCGAATCCACCGCAGCAGAGTAGGTTGTTCCATCGACGTCGAGGGTCCAGGTGGAAGTGCTGCAGGGATCTGAGGTCGAGAGCTTGACAGCGTGCCACGCGCTGTTCCACACACTGCCAGCAGTCAAATCCGCCGACCCCAGAGGCGTGTGCGGGAAAGTGGCCAAGCTTAGCCACACCCCCAACATCTCTCGCCCAACAGCGAGCGATATCCACCTTCGCGCCCTGGCACCCCCACCCCGTCGAGCCGCTGTGGCCCACCACGCCCCACACCCCAAGATTCGTCACCCAAAGCTGACCATCGCCCCCCTTCCCGCCCCCCCACCTGGCCCCGCCCGTTGCCCCCCACCTCGCCTCCACCCCCCCTCGACATCCCCAGGCTCCTGGGCTCTGTTCTTGAGACCCCCGACCCCACGATTTCTCGCCCAAAAACGACCGATACCCCCCACCTCGCCCCCCACCTCGCCTCCACCCCCCCTCGACATCCCCAGGCTCCTGGGCTCTGTTCTTGGGATCCCCGACCCCTACGATTTCTCG